TAGCTATTTTTCATGCTCTAGCTGCTGGTTGGGTAGGATTTCAGAAATTTCTAGCGTAAATAGCTCGATTTACGAGTTAGGTTTCAGCCGGTTTTGGAGTCACTGTTCCGGCCATTTCCGGCCACTTTTTGGGGTAGGTCCAAGAACTAAAGTGGTTCCAAATATGGTGTTTTACCTAGGATAGGAGTCTTGAGCCTAGATGTTGAGTTTTTCCGGCGAAGCATTATCGCTTCGAGCAACCAGCGCTGCCAGCGCGTGTGGCGGCGCGTGAGCATCAGGGTGAGAACCACAGTCAGTCCTAGAATAATCTCCTAGTCCTCACGAGCGCATAGGATTTCGCGGATCTTAATTCGGATAACGTTTGAACCCTGAACGGATCTCTCCTAGTATGCGATTTCCAGGTTCTATACGTTTGAACCGTTGGATCGTAGTCATTTTCCAAGTATGTTGATCTAGGTATTTCCAGGATCGTATAGTATTTGACGGATCGTAAAACGGAGTCCTGGATACTCTAGAAAGGTCAGCCCTAGAGTATGTTTTACGGATAATTAAATCAGTTACAAAATAACGAACTAGTTGCAGGTCAAGAACAGAGGAAAGAACTACGTGTGGCTTAATCCCTCAGTAAGGGTACGTAGGCAGCCTACCGTTACCAGGCACAGCCACGAGTTAGGGCCTTAGGGTATGTGTTATTATTTTTCAGGGCCTTTTGATCATTTACGACCTACAGTTACCAGGTGTCAGTTTTAAACAGGATTCGGCCCGGATTTCAAAGTGGAAATTGGGTCGGGTCGTTTCATCGGTAGTGTACCCCAGCAACCCTAGGGTACCTATGGGGGTGCCGAAGGAAAATTTATTTGGCATCGACTATCTTGGGCCGAACAAGATTACCGAGCGGGAGATTGCCAAATTTCGAGCGGAATACCGCATCCCCGATTAGGTACGGATGAGGATCCCGGGCCCTACCGAATCCCTTAGCAAGCCCAAGGACGGCGAGGTAGTCTTCTTGACCGACGTCCTTGTGCAAGGCGTTGGGTTGCCGTTGCAGCCGGCGGTATAGAGGATCCTGGCCCAGATCGGCTACGCTCCGGGGTAATTTAACCCCAACTTCTGGGTGGCCCTCATGGGAGTGATAACGACCTTCGGCATGGCTGGTGAAGGGAGTCCGTCCTATGAACAGTTCTCTCACCTATACAGCATCACCAAGTCCAAGTGTGCCGATCACGGCGGATGGGTGCAGGCGAACTGTCCCAGGGGTGATGATCGTGGCCACTTTGTTAGCTGGGTACCGACTTCACAGAAGTCATGGAGGAATCGGCGGGTGCTCCTTTCGGGAGACTGGGGGTCACCTTCGGGACAGCCTGTCCGATTTCGCATTCCCACAACATTCCAAATAGCCGGTAGGGTAACGTGTCGTTCGGTACCTTCTCTGGGTTCCGCGTTTACTGTAAGTGATCTTTTCCTGTTTGTTCACCTTGTAGGTAAATTAAAGCAGCCGATCGCAACGCAGGCCGAGATCCAGCAAGTGGAGAGGGTGAGGAGAAAAGTCCCTGCCGAGAAGAGGGTGTATCCGCAATTCCTCTTCACCGCCAATCTGATCCAGGCCCAGCTGGTCGATCCTACCGAGAGTAAGTATACTTTGCAATTCACAAGTTGTTTTTCCCCCGTAGTGACGGAAGAGAGGAGAGCTGCCGAGGCTAAGAGGATGAACGAGTCCTCCAAGCGCCGTCTCATGATGGGCTTCCAGGGGAAGAAGAAGAAAAGCCAGCCGCAGGGCTCGGCATCGGTCGACCCCGAGGACCAAACTCTGGCTGACCGTCTCCGTCAGCTCAATGCTGACTCGGCACAGGCCAGGGGGGCAGCGGTCGGTCCCTCTCCTGGCTGAGGCATCCCTACCGAGGGGACTTCCTCCCGAGCTGCCGGCAAGCGTCCGTTTACCGTCGACCTGGATGCGGAACCGGCCCCAAAACGAAGACGGCAGGCCGAGCCTCCTCGGGCCATCTTTGCCGTTGACAACGACGAGGAGCATGCCAATCCCGTCACCCTGGCCTGTCCGCCGAAGACGGTTCAGTTTGCGAACCACATGATCCTCGGTTCGCAAATGGAGCTGAATGAGATCGAGGAGCTGCCGAAGAAGCTCCTTCGGGAGGAGGCGGGTCGCGCTTTCCGCCTTTAGGCATCAGTAAGTCCCAAGTATTCCCGGTTCAGCTTACCGACCGCTTTCTTTATATTTTACCTGACATTCCCTTTGTTCTCCAGGCTTCGATGGACATGTGACTTTGCATGAAGCGAGCCATTAATGCTGCTGAGAAGGCGAAGAAGGCCTATGAGGACGGTAGGGCCAAGGTTGCCGAGGCTGGCAAGGCTATCCAGGATCACGCGAACCTGGAGAAGGATTTGCAGGCTGTCGAACGGCAGGTCAGGGTTTATGAGTCGAAGTTCGCAGATCTGTCGTCAGCCCTGGAGTCGGCACGGCTATCGGCAAAAGAGGCCGTCGAGGTGGCTTTGGAGGAGTCGGAGCGGGCCAAAGCTTCGGAGATTGAGGCTGCCGTCCAGGAGGCTATTCGGAAGTACCGCTACTCTCCCGATTTCTCTACCTTGCTTGACAAGGAGGTGGGCTCGGAGGTGGTGGATCTCATCTACCGTTTCAAGCGGTACAATCCTAGGACGAAGCTTAACTTGAACTTCATTGCCGATCCTCCTTCCCTTCCCGAAGGCGTCACAGAAGAAATGATAGAGGAGTATGAAGGGGAGGATGCCTCGGGAGAGCCTGACGCCACTGGTGCCGAAGAGGCGG